TATATAATTATTCTACTGTACATTAATCAGTGTGCAAAGAAAGTAGTGTCCGATAGCCCGGGGCTAGTGGATTTTGCTATCGGGCTACTGAATTCTGTTTTCAACTTGCCCGATGGGCAAGTGATATTTTTTTGGGAATTCGAATAACAGAAGAACTGTAATCTGTAAAACTGACTTTCTTTGCACCCTGATTAATTGTATTTAACCCTTTAAGCCCTAATATCGACATACGAATTCTCCAAACTGATCTTTATACATCTCTGTTAAGAATTAGTTCAGAGAATTTGATAAAACATCGTGGAATTTTCTCTATGGTGATCATTTTATTAATTCTCATAACTTTATCTCTTGACAGTATATGGATATTGTTAGGAGAAAATTGATGTTGGTCACTATTGGGACAAGGGTTAATATGTTCTAATTAAGTAAAAGTGACTTACTCAAGTTGTATTTGGCATGAAGAGCATCTTCCTTGGCTTGAGACTTCTTGAATTTTTCAACTTTGTGAACCTTTGAAAAAAATTTAAGATAAAATGGTACTGACATTTTTTTTTCTGTACTTAGATTTGTACCTACTGGTATTAAAATAATAAGCCGCTGTATGGGTTCCTGAAGACATCAATTTCGTTTTCCATCATATCGTTGGTTTTTCATGCATAATTGTCACATGTAAAGAACTGCTTTGCCTGGTAACATACCATTGAGCTCAATGCAACACAATGACAAACAAAACAAGAAAATAAGCAATTAAACATAAACTCTGAATGTATAGCACAAGTTTTGGCAGGTTTCTTTGCTGTTATTGCACAACCTTAATGTTCTTAAAATGTTCAAGTACATTTACAACATGTTTAATATGCAAATTAACTAAATTAAAAATGGGTTACCATGAATTTTCACAGACTAAAACAAAAAATGATCTCTGGGCACAGAACCGAAATATCATTTTCCATGAGATTCCAAATCCTAGGGCTTGGATCAGTTCATTCTTACTCATGCTAATTTAATCATTGACCGTTATTTTTTTTAATCTACCTACCTGTCTCATCATACATGTTAGAAGACCCCTCATACACTTCACAACAGACTGAAGAAGACAACAACAGATCAGTCAGTATTTTTTGACATGCAGTTTACATAATCTTGGGAAAGCAAATACCAGTACAAGTGTGAAATTACATCTGGCTCTAGTTGTTCAAAAGCTGCATAGTGCTATCCACCGGCAGCGTGCAAAGAGAGTAGTGTCCAAAAGCCCAAGGTTAGTGGACTTTGCTATCAGGCTAGTGAATTCTGTTTTTAACTTGCCCGACAGGCAAGTGATGTTTTTTGAGGGAAAAAAAAATTCGAATAACAGAAGAACTGTGAAATCAATTCTGCTAGTTAAAAAGTTTTTGGGGGTAGTTGAAATGATGTTTAGGCTAGTAAATGCTAGCCTCAGCTTGCCCGAATGGCAAGCTGTAAAAATGATTTTCTTTGCACCCTGCACCAGATAAATCACTATCCAGTGGATAATTATTAGGGAAACCAATTGCGCTAACCATTGGATAGAGATTTATCTGGTGGATAGTGCAATCCACCTTTTGAACAACTGGGACCTGATATTGTCTGATTATCACAAAAATGCAGGATTTTATCATACCTGAGTGAGTTCATGTGCCCTAGCTCTGTCCTCATCAACATCTGCATTCTTTTTATAAGCCAGTGACAGACCCCAGACTGCCAGGATGCTATAGACATTATCTCTTACCCATGCATCCCCTAAGTAATCTGTTGATCCTGATTTATACTTAGTCCAGTTTATTTTTGGTGGAAGAAGACCTGTTACAGGATCCTGTGTGTTGGATAAAACAAGTTACACATGAGGACTATTGCATGACTTTAGTCTGTGACTCAACTTTCAGATGCAGATAATTTTGACATCCTCAAAATATCCAACAAAAAAGAACAAAGCGAACATTTCAGCACGTGGTCGGGACTGTATAATTTTCCATCACATGATACGTGATTCCTAAAGGTGGAGGGGGAGGGGGGGGTGGAGTGTGCCAAAACATTATTCAAACCATCCCCAACACTGTGATTACAATGAAAATGTGACTATCTCAACAGAAGAGAAACTTTACATAATTGAACCTCCATTAAGCAGCCACACTGGCATATGGACAAATTGCTGCTTAACCCTTTAAGTCCCAATAGTGACCAAGATCAATTTTCTCCTAACAATATCCATACACTGTCAAGAGATAAGTTATGAGAATTAATAAAATGATCACCTGAGAGAAAATGCCCTGATCTATCATCAAATTCTCTCAACTAATTCCTTAAGGAAATGTATCAAGATCAGTTTGGAGAATTTGTATGTGGATACTGGGGCTTAAAGGGTTAAAAGAGGTTGGTCGCTCAAGAGAGGTTTATCATAAATTAGCATAATCTTCAGCGACAGGAACAGCTTTACTGATCCTCAATGAGTTAATATTGTCACCTTCTATCTTGGGACTGTATTTTCAAGTTATTTCCTTCATCATACTTTTTAAAATAAAGTCAAATTAAGTGTAAGTTAAGTTTGGCTGTAATTAAGATCAATTCAGCTGACCTAATTAATTTGAGTCAGCCTAAATTCAAATTTGATTCAGCCCACTTAAAGTATGGAGTCTGAACCAGGCCTTTAAAACACGTAAACCTTCTTGAAACACTTGCTGATTTTGGACCTCCTTCCCTTTCAATATTTATGTTAACTAGGCCTGGGTTGTTCAAACGTTGGATAGCGTTATCCACTGGATAAATCACTATCCAGCAGATAAATATTGTGGAAACCAATCCAGTGGATATAGAGATTTACATGTACATGTATCCAGTGTATAGCGCAATCCATCTTTTGAACAGCTACCTGTAAGGTATATATGTCTCCATCAAAACAATACGGAGGAAAGGAGAGAGAGGCGATACACGTATTCGTAGAACCAGTTTGTTTATATTGTATTTTCCGGAAGTGTTTCAACAAATTTTGACCGGAATTGTCGCTACGATTACAAATAATCAATAAATGTACGTAGTGCTATAATGAAAGCAGTGTGCCTTATATAGTCAAGAAACGAAGCGCGAGTGCATCATTAGTTTACAGCGATGTACTCGATATTAAGATAAAAAGAAAACCCACAAATTTGAAAACATGATAAAAGAATATAACTTTCCGGACCAACGGCGGCAGAAACATTAAGATTGGGCGAGTCGCTCCAGTGACGAAATTGCAAATATCGATCCAGAGAACTATAGATGTAAGCAAATTGAAATCTCTTCAGTCATCGTGAATAAGAAGAATTTGAAGGCATAAGTTTCAATAAGACAGTGTCTGTAACAGACAGATTAAATAAACATCAAAGTAATGTTCAACTGACACGTTTTGTAAAGTGGAAATTGACATGCAAACATGTCAATTCAGGCCAGATCAATTGCAATGTACCTGAAAATCCAAGACAGTTCGGGTAACGAGACTGTGATACCAATCCAGGCGAACTATGGAGTTACTTCTCGTCCTCATGATTTACAAAACGTCGTAACACATGGCTGTTTACGCAATTCTTCGTCGAGCAGAGAAGCTCAGGTCAACCATACTCCCAACTTTCCGCCATTTTTTGACCTGTTCGGGGAGAACTGGGTCTGAATGATGACGTTGATTACGCGCGTAATTTGACGCGATCAATGGTAACAATGGTAACGAGCGGGTAAATTTCATTTTCGCAGGAAACTTTCAGATGTTCCATCGGGGTTCAGCAGCGTTTTTTGTTCGTATGTGTATTCGTTTTTATTGTCTTTAACTGCCAATAAGTACTTTAGTTTTTGAGCGCCCAGTGCGGTGGAAACCACTTTGCTGTTTCTGAGAGACAAAAAGAGGGGAATTCCTCCATTTTTCGCAAAAGCCTTGTGGTGAAACTGCTAACGGTCGATTCCAAAATGGCCACGCATGAGCACTCAAGCACGCAACTGCAGGATTCCCTGAACCAGGTAGGATGTTCAGATTTTCGGGACAAACATAGAGTTAAAAAAGAATCGCATTTTCTACGAAACTCTCAAGAGTTAAACATTGCAATTCATCACTCACATGTACAGGAGGATTGTAAGCATTCGAGGATTTATTCATGTACATTGCAGCGAAATTGTCAATTAGTTAATTCGTAGGGGGGGGGGACTGCCATATATGGGCTATATAGGTATGTGCCGCTGTGAAGGGTATGGTTTTCAAACAGTTTACTCTAGGATAGGGTATATAAATCAGAACATTTGGGTCTAGAATAGGGTATCATTTTTCAGGAAACTGATTAGTTGGTTGAAGATTTTACCTCGACTAGGGAAACAGCTACTATAGGATAGGGGGGATTTGGGGAGTTTACTCTAGTATAGGGTAGCAAAATTTAGCTGAACTAGCTCTGGTATAGGTTAAGGGTTCCAGGGTCCCAGCGGCACATCCCCACCCAGAAATTCCTAAAGGGCCCCCCCCCCCACCCCCGGGTTCATAGAGTGCTACTACAAATAAGATATACCATATTTATTCGATTAACCGCCCTGGGCGCTTATTAAATTTTTGGACCTTGAGAGTGGGCGCTTATTCGAGGCTGGGCGCTTATTAAATTTTCACCATTTTCAGCAAGTAAAGTATGTTTATTTTGCAACAAAACAATAAATGCTAATAACAAAACGCGAGGAAGTAACAAAGCAAGGTTTCTGTAAAATACTCTGAAGAAAACTCCATCCTCGGGAAAGTCTCTTATTAAAGTTTATTCACTCAAGTGGGTGGGGTGGGGGTGAGCGCCTATTTGAGTTTGATTGGGAGGAGGAGGGGGTGGGCGCTTATTCGAGGCTGGGCACTTATTAACTTTTTCTGCCTTTAGGATGGGCGCTTATTCGAGGTGGGCGCTAATTCGAGGTTGGGCGCTTATTCGAATAAATACGGTATATGCAATTTATTATGTCATTTATTGGCAATTTATAAATCAATGTTTTTTTAGGAATTGTTGAATCTTAGCAAGACTCCCGAAATAACGAAACAGGTAGAGTGTCTGGGATTATTATATTTGTTATTTAGCAATTATTGAAGGAGGCTGAGTAGGATATGAAGAATTCTGCAGATCGAGGAGGGTGTTTCCGAGATCTGCAGAATTCTTCATATCCTGCGATAGCAATTATTGCTTTATTATTCATTCAAAATAATTCCAACTTTAAAAACAAGCTAAAAAATGCTTACCTTGAGCAGTCGATGTTAAGTTCACATCAACAGTGCATCTTTTTCGGGAAATTTAGCTGATAAAGGTCTGCTCAGGTCTGCAAATATACTCCAAATAGCAGATATTGTCTGTCGAGTTGACTTCTCGCTGTTCTTGCTATGTTTTTAGACAATATTTTGCCGTGAAAAGAGTACAATGTCTGCCCGACAGTTCAACCACTTTGTAGGTTTCCTCAGTCATCAGTTCAATATGACAGTTCAGGAGCTGGTTATGGTGAATTATGCATGTGGTTTTGCCCAATCAGAAACGGGGAAATATTTTGAATGAATAATAATTAACAATTAATGAATGACGCTGAGTATCTTAAGTAGAATTATGGAGATCAAGGAGGGTGTTATCCATTGAGGCTGTAGGCCAAGGCGGATAACACCCTCTGAGATCTCCATAATTCTCTATATGATACGAAAGCCAAATTCAATAATTGTTTCATTATTCATTCAAAATAATTCAAAGTTTAAAAACATAGCTAAAATATGCTTACCTCCATGGATGTTAAGTTCATCTTCGATAGTGCACGTTTAGGGTTGTTCAGCTCCGCAAATATTCTCCAAATAGCAGATGCGAGCCTTCGAGTTGTCTTCTTGCTGTTCTTGCCATGTTTTTAGCTATTATTAATTTTTGCCTAGTTCTTACTCTTAAAAGGAGTGAAATGTCCGCCATTTTTTTATCACAACCAAAACAACTCAACCTTGTCCCTAGGTCTTCTCTCGTCAAACACAAAATTTTTCCAAATTTGGTCATCAGCAACTGGTTATGGTGAATTATGCGTGTGCTTTTAGCCAGTCAGAATTGGGGGAATATTTTGAATGAATAATAAATTTATTTATTCAATCATTCATTTATTTTTTGAACATTTATGCATATTTGTTACCTGTGACTTAAAGGATGTTACTATGTGGGAGAAATATTGTTCACAATCTATTAATTTTTGTGAACCTGCAGGTTGTCCAGGAATCTGCATATACTCAATTAGAAAAAAAAAAGAAACCTTTCCCGCTTTTATCAAGTTATCGCGCAAATTTTTGTCTTTCCAACTTTTAAATCTGTTATCCCTATGGTGTTAGCTTTGAAATTAAACTTCTTCTGCTATTTTAAAGAGTTTTTAACTCCAATGAGTGCAGTTTACAATTACATTTTCATACTCTTTATTACATAGGACCGATTCTGTGTGCACAAAGTTTGCTTTGAAAAATTAATAGATCACCACTCTACTTACAGAGATCTGCTTTATAGAATAAAGGTGAGGAACAAACAAACAAACAACGACAACAACAACAGCAAAAACAGGACTTGAGTGAATACATGTCACCTACAAATGATGAGTCAGAAAAGAACTGTTATCGGATGCATACAATGACCATAATAAGTTAACCTGCAAGGAAATGCATTTTACACGAGACTATGCTCTAGCAGCACTTGATGGTTCCTGGTGCCTTGGTTTTGCTCATTGGGTGACTATGAGACCATAGTTTTGTTTTGAAAATATAATCATATTGTGGGTTGTGACCCTGGATTTCACAGGTTCTGAGAAGAACTGGGCCCCTTTATTTTTTCCTAGAGCACAGTCTTGTTGGATCATGTGTCTTACACAGGGTGTCGATCGATGTATCATCCGACTTCTCAGTTGATTATTGGTCAACATATTGGTTGCTATATTGGTCTAGTGTCAGTGGAGAGTTGGTCAAGAGTCAGTCGATAGTCGATCAATACATCGACCGAGTGGCGTTCCACTATCGTTCAACCGTGGGTCAAGTGTGGGTTGACAGATAGACTGGTTGTCAGTTATGATAGCATCAGTAGTGCGTCAGCAATGTATTGGTGAACTATCTTTTGAGTATTGACAAGGTATTAGTGGTGTATTGGTTGACAATTGGCATTGCCTGTACAATTTTCTCACCACCCTTGTCCACAAGGCTTTTCCCTTTGTTACTAGGTACCTGTGAACTATCACGTGTTGGACACTATTGCTTATTACTCATATCGGCTGTAGCTGACACCAGATTGATCAGTTACGAAATCAACATGAGATTTCAGCTGATACATTGGCGACACCCCCTATAAGACACATGATCCATCTTGTTTACGCACCACCTTTCACTCAGGGGCAAAACACTCCTAAAAGTACCCCTAAAGTGTATGAAATATAATTATGTAAATTTTTGAAGAAGGGGAATTCTAACACCAGAAATTAAGGCTCAGAAAAAATTCCGTGCTCCAGGTGAGGATTAAACACACAACCTACCTACTGGAGGCTCTATGGTGAGCAGGGTCATAATCTACATAGCATTCATCTTAAACCCTTATGCTCCAAAGATGGGCTACCCTTACAAATTACTGTGAAAGGCACAGATGAGAAGATATAGAACTGAAATTACGTAGACTTTTTGATGTATGTTTACAGGACAGGCTTCTTTGTTATCGTACATGTATGTAACAAACTGTGAAGCATTACAAAAAATCCCCTTTAGAGCGATTTTCATATGACCTTGAAATGAAAACGCCCAAACAAAACAGTAACATCAAACAAATGGTCATACTGCAGTTCACGATTGGCCAATCGAACAATGCGTTCTCCATCTTAAGGTTTTCTTTGGTAGGAAAATGAAGAGTCCATGTTTTGATCTTTTCATCCATTGGCTGATAAAACAAATAACGAGCACTTACCGAAGCCATTATTCAGGGTCATACAAAAATCGCTCTAACAATTTGGAAATGTGTCTTAAAACTGTTGAACCTGAGTGGAACCTAAGAGTCTTTGTGTCCTGCTTAGACAACAAGTTTTAAACACAATAATCTTCGCAAACTTATTTTATTATGCCTGCATGTGTTCTTAAGAAAGTCTTAGAAATCCTCCAGCTTTAAAGGTGTTGATCCATCTTTGTAGGCAGAATATGAGGAGTGTATCGAGGCCATAGAGAGAGGACAGAGGGAGGCAGTGTTTCTGTCAGGGAAACTAGCATCAACCCTCATGCAGCCTGAGACAATCAGGTGAATGCAGGCATTTAGAATATGTAATAAATAGAGGATATTACATGGCTGCGCGGGGAAATATGAAATATTTTTCAACACTCGAAGAGAAATTTCGTATCTCCAAGCGGCCATGTAATGTTCTATTTATTATATAAACACCAATGAAATACCAACCATTTCACTTTAATAGTTTTTTGGTGTGAAAGGTGCTATTTATTATGTAGCCATAGCAACGGTGACATTTTCACGTGTGAAGATAACGTGTTATTTTCACATGTGAAGATATCAAGTTTTTGCGCGAAAGCTCACCTGGTATTTCATTGGTGTTTAAATAATAATTGGTTCTATTGTTACTTATTTCCACCTCAGATTCTCGTTCAAATACACATACCTTAAATGATCTGTTAGACACCCGGGGTGTTTGTTTAATTTCAGGGGTCCAAGAGAGAGCGTTTGATAGAAAGGAGGCGTTGGAAGGAGAGGCGTATACTTTCATTTTTGTAACAATCTTTACAAGGGTAATATGCTTTTGGCGAAAATATGAAGTTTATAAACAACATAATATTAAGTCTAGGCAAGTAGAGATCCATATCGCAACCTGGATGTCCGAGAACCCTTGTTCAGGGTCATTGTTTTCTCATCGTTAATCTATCCCTTGTTTGAACTTGACATTGAACAAAAAGCAATGCCCAAACCCAGATAACTTTGCTCCTTTTTTCTAATTCCAAGTATTTTTGTGTAATTGTGATGAGGGGGCATCTATATAATCCTTGAGTGGGCGTTTATAAGACAAGGTGTTTATTTGAGAGAGGGCTTCTATTAGATCATTTATGGTAATTGCTTTCTCTGGTGTAAAATATGCTGTGAACAGGCACCCGGGAGACGTGGTGAAGGATACTTCCCCCTTCCCTTTCCTTTTCCTTGAATTTCAAGCTTTTATACCACATAAGAGAGCCTATTTACAAGCTAGGCTAATTTTTTTAAAAATAGGGCAAGGGTTCAAGAAGGCTTTCTGCAAAACTCCATAGGAATTATCTGGGAGTATTCCCTGGCTCCCAGCACCTTAAGCTAGTGACCCAGGTCGAGCAGGTACAAACTCGGACCGGATGAACTTACATTTAGGAAAATCCAGGCCCCAATTGTTCAAAAGGTGGATAGCGCTATCCGATGGATAAATCTCTATCCAGTGGATAGCGCTATTGGTTTCCCAAATACTTATCCACTGGATAGTGATTTATCCAGTGAATAGCGCTATCCAACGTTTAATTAACCAGGCCCAGGAGGGTAACTGTGAATTGTGTTGTTAGTATGTGTCAGGGCCCAGTTGTTCGAACCCTGTTTAGCGCTAACCCAGGGTTAAATTTTAACCCGGGGTTCATTTTCTTCTTATCAAAAGCACTCTCTCGGATAATTTTCTCTATTCTTTAGAGCATCCAATCATCATATTGTAGGTAAAGAGAATTTAACTGAATTTGCTTTTTAAGCTTTCATATCTGAGTTCAAATTTCCCACTAACCCTGGGTTACCTTAACCCAGCTTCGAACAACCCGGCCCAGAAGGTAAACAGACCACCACCACCACCACTACCACCATAATGTATCGACATTTTATGATTTAGTATCGTTTACCTTGAATCTCTCCTAAGCAGGAACTTAAAACAACGCGGAGATGAGCTAGAGCTGAAAATAAAATTGCTCAAAGTTCTAAACCAAAGGTAGATACCAAACCGTCTAATTCTAATTAGGTTTAGTGCAGTTAAGTGTGTTTCAACAATAACTGGAAGAGTTTGCCGCATTGCCTTGGTTTACGCTAAACGATTCAAGAATGACTATTTTAATTACGGAACCCCTTATCAAAGAACCTCGATGCTATATGTTGGTTTAGGGGCACCCAACGACTGTTTTCTGTAAAATATCTGTTCGGAGAAGCAAAAATTGCCCAGAATTCTCTATAGCTTAAGGAGGGCTGAAAATTTCAAGTTGACCGTTCCATTCATGTTCAATTTTTGTAACATATGTAATAAATTCCCTACGATTTTCTAAAGTTTAATTTTTGGCATTTCAGTACCCAAGTTAGCCTATTTGTCGTAGAAAAAGGAAACGTAAAATTTTCGATGGAGAAAATGGAGAGAGGAATCAGAAAAATTCTTACTTCCGTAAAACTTAAAATTGCATTTAAAATGTTCGGGAAAATAATACGGAGGCCCTTGTAATTTCGAAAAGACTCAAGGTGCCCTAGGACGACCGAACAGATACAAATTTTATAGCGCCGCTTGGAATGCATCTCTAGAGATCTGAAAGTACTCTGGATAGCCTAAAAAGTGTTTTCAATGCTTTAGGAGGAAACGATCGTTGGGTGCCCCTGTTAGTTGATTGATCAAATTGTGGGGACGGCATAAAGAGATGCGACACCGATGTGAGAACCCCAGCGCGGAACAGGCTATTATTCAGGGGCGCCCAACGACTGAGTTTCCTCCTAAATAATTGAAAACACTTTTTAGTTTTTCCAGGGTACTTTTAGATCTCTAAAAAAGCATTCGAAGCTGTGAAATTTGTATCTGTTCGGTCATCCCGAGGAAACTTGAGTCAGAAAATCGTGGGGTATTTATCAGATAAGCTTCGAAAATTGTACATGAATGGAACGGCCATCTAGAGATTTTCAGCTGTCCTCAAAAAATAGAAAATTCCAGGCAATAGGCTGATTAGCAACAGAACGGGAACGTCAGTTGACGACTGCACGCGCAAATCAAACAACTGGCTTGACCAATGGCAGAGCGGCAAATTGAGCACCTGAAGTCGTGTTTAATCCTTTCCGCGCGCTTTCCCATCGTCAACTGACGCTCCCGTCCGAACAGATATTTTACAGAAAGCAGCTGTTGGGTGCCCCTGATTAGTTGCTAATTTAATTGTTACGTGGAATGCACAGCATTAAAATACTCCAAACTCTATCTGACCTCAGGCTAGCCTAAGTTCGAACTATAAGCTATCCAATCTAGTGTGAACAGCAACGGCCCGGGGGCGGCACATTTCGTCCACACGCATCGAACATCGTGCCGGCGCGGTTGGTCGAGAGGGTTTGGTGCACTAAATTCCAAACCTCACTCCTGCATTTACTTCCATCTCAGTGTGTTCCAGTATTCGCTCCTACTTATTCACTTCCACGACGGGCCGAATTGGTGTTCACACTGCACCAAAGTAGGGCACAAAACCTATCCCATTTGTGGCGTTCCACTTTCGAGATCGGCGCAGCGCAGTCTCGCTCCGTCACAGAAATAGAGAGGAGAAGTGTGACGTCACGTTACCATGGTAGCACTATTTCTGGACTACAACAAATCCAACGACGACGGCGACGGCAAGAAGAACAGCAAGCGGAGTTAAGTTTATGGAGTACGTGCACAAAAATTGAAACTGAATAAGATCGGTAAAGTTTGAAACAGTGGGAATGGACTTTTAAGTGACTTTATCGGTTTGTTGTCATCCAAAAATTTTGCTACTATGGCAACGTGGCGTAACGACTTCTCCTCTCTATTGCGCCACCACAACCGTTCCTAACCATCCTGTATGATTTTCGTGGCGGAGCATGCGCAAAAGCTATCCGGTATAGCTAGTGTGAACATAGCCTTTATTTACTCATAATCATCTGTTTTTATGCTAGGTTGGAATCACCGTTGAAGTCATCTTGCAGGTAAATAAACACACTGTAAAAATTGTAACAGTAACTTGTAACCAGATAAACTTGGAAAGCGAAATCCGCATGTTGCATTATCATGAGGCAATGGCGTCGCTGCAATTAGAATTCATTGTAGAGAGCTTGTAGACAACGACGAAGACGTCGCTAAAAAATAAATTTGCGCCCTTTCAAACTTTATCGCGTCTATTTGGACCAGCTCGATTTGTTAAATGTAGGCGATTCCACCTGGAGTTGAATTCTTAAGGACTTTACCCAGCAAAAAAAAGAGGAAGAAAAATTTACCATCGTTTGTTCACGTTCTCCATAAAAACGTTGCATTAGGAGGTCTTACGTCGTATTGCTGCAGTGGACGTCAAAGAAATGTACAAAAATGCGTGATGCACGTTCAGAGCTGTTGTTTTGCTCATAAAACCAATTGCTTTTTGGCGTTGTCGTTGTCGTCGTCATCGCCTTTGCTAGAGTTTCCTGTTAATATAGAAACTGGCGCAGTACTTCATCAATTTCATTTGTTGTGGGAGTGTGTGATGTAAAATGTTTCTTTTCTTTTGTTGCTTTTTTTTTCTCCTGTGAGCAATAGAACCGGTTTCCTTAATGTCTTACTCACCAGACGTTTAACTTGTATGTCTTGTATATTTGTAGTGCTAGGATTTTTTTTCAGTTGCTTGGTGTCTGAAATGATATCAATTTACACTTTTAGAACTTCATCCAAGCAACACAGACAAAGTTATCTCAACTCATCGAATTGCGTATCTGAAGGTACATTTGTCACGAAAACTTTTTTATAGGCACTTTTTATTTTGCACCGAAAAACAAATTCCACCGAATGATAATTTCGTTTGGTGCCACAAGTTGTAAAGAACTGCCATCTGCTGCTGAAAAGAAAGCAGAAAGGCCCAATTTGCATGTTTGTTAATCACGCAGACGAAAATTTCTGCATGTAAACCCAATGAAAAGCTGTTCCGCCTTCTGAAAACTTCCTGATGGTAGGATCTGCCTCTCTTCATCTGAACAGCCTCTTAATAAAGGCAGGTTTACACATGCATTTTTTGATTAGTATTGGTTGCAATTTCATCGTAATTGTACCGTATTATCTAACTAGGGCAGGATCCAGGTGTTTCAGTGTTATCCCAAACGGGTCCATACAAACTTTTGCACACAATTAAAACTGTTTCACTTGCAGCCGTTTTTGCCGCTATAAATTATTTTCTGGTAACTTCAACTGCGTTTCAACGTAATGTTCGTTTAAGAACTGAAACTTCTTCTGGTTTAATGGGTGCTTTTTCGGAATACGGATCCTCTGTAATGATACGCTTCCCTAGATTTGTTTAATGATGGGGAGGGGCTATACTCGTATGCTGTTAAATTTCTCTCGCAGGCTCCTTTCTGACGTGGGATCATTCTCGCAATGGTTTGCGGTCATATTTTTTACCTAGTTTCACCGTGGAACAACTAACGAACACCGCCTTTCTGACAAAAAAGGTACAGTAAAAAATACTTGCAAAGGTTCTGTGGACAAAAACCTTGTCTGTGTAATCTTTATGAAATCCAAAAGAGGATCGCTATAATTAGCATGGTTTCGATCCGAGATGGGTCTTGTCATTTAGGTTTCCGAGTCATTAAGCTTTGAGGGCTAGACTCGACTGTTGACAAAAGGGAAGTGGAACCTGAATCTAAGGACATTTGTGTTGCCTAAAAGAGGTTGGAAGAACTGCTAGGCGTCTCAATGACTCCATAGAGGCGACCATCATTCAGATTTCATTTCTTGAAGAATTTTGGCGAAGGCGAAAGCAACGAGACTGACGAGAAGGTAGAAATTCAACGTGTTTAGACTACGTTCAGACGGTACCAGATGAATGTCCTTCACGTTGAAAATTCGTCCTGAAAAACGAAAAAACAGAACTTGGCTAACATACAGCCATCTTGACTTACGCTTTGGCAAGAACGCATGTGTATCTTTTGGATAAAGGAGGCGCGCGCTCGCCCACGAGAACAGCGCGCGCAACTGATGACGCGATTCTAGTGGAACGGTTTCTCTACAATTGTGACGTGTAATTTTTTGTGTTAGACAATCTTTCTAGTTGAAACATAAAAAGTTAAGTTGACTTAAAAGCACTGAAGTGAGAACGATAACCGTCGCAAGGATGGCCTCCTTTCTGTTTTAGCAGACTTGCTCCGCCAAAAATGTACCTCTTTGAGGATGTATTCGTTCGTTAAAGTTAACGTCTAGTTGGATAGTTTTATCAAACGTGAATCCAAAATCAAACCTTACGCTACAGAGCATGGTTTATTTTCTCAGTTGGCAGATCTGAAATCTAGAGTGGCTGTGGTAAAGCTAGAGGATAAAACCAGGTTTGTGGCGTTGTCCTTTGTATTTTGGAAGAGGGAGAAACATTAGAAAGCTAAGAAAAAAAATTCCGAGGTGCAGTGAGAAACGGACTCATAAGCCTCCGAGTTCTAGGATGCTCTAATTACTGAGTTACTGGTGGCTCTATGGCGAGCAGGGTCGAAATTCATTCATAATACACCAGTCGTGGAGGAATGTATAAACAGCAGTTCGAACACGGCATTCGTCTGCCAGTTTCTTTGTAGTCCACCAACGTTTCAAGCTCAGGAGTTAATTTTGAATTACCGTATTTCCTCGAATAATAGCTGCGGGCGATTATTAATTTTTTCGCGCCAAAAGGGGACGATTATTCGAGGGAGGCGATTATTCTAAATTTTTACGGCAAAGGGAATAATTAGTGAATTAATCTGGGCTAGTTTGCGCGTTGGAACTCTCATTCTTACCGACACCCTTAAATTTGAAGCTGAAAAATAGGACTGCGGGCCGTAAAGTTGACGAAGAAAAGGTCCCCGTTTAGAAAACAAACAAGCAGATAAAGAAGTTAGTTTCATTTCGTCAGTTTTTCCAGCTATAACGATCTTGTTTGTTGGTATTTTTATTTTTGGTATAGATTTGTTCCAAAGGCTTTAAAAGGACAGCTTTTGAAGCGCCTTCGGGAAAAAGAGGTAATTTTTTCCGCGTGTAAAATGCCATCCTTCTGGTACTTGCATTCGACTGAGTATGTCGAAAAAGTCTCATAGATGGAATTTTTTACCCTCCAAGAAATAACAAAGAACACAAATGCTTTCCTGGGCAAGAATACCTTAAAGTACCTTTTCTGTCATCTTCTCGCAGGAAATCAAAGAAGAGCTGTTGAGTAAACGCGAGAAACTCAAGATGAAAATAATGTCAATTCAGCTGTCGATGGCTGTACAAGTTGAGGTAAGCAAGAAAGACTCGGCTTTGTTGTTGTTGTTGTTTCTCTTTCTCTAAAATTCCGGGTGGCCTTGTGATTTACCGCCAAAACGCGCGGGTACTTGAAATTCTACCCCAGCTTAAATTTAGGGGTGGCTTTCGTACGTACGGACGATTTTGTTAGAACCAAAATTCGTGTCTGCATAGACAACTAAATTTTCTTACCCATGGTGCTCCGCTACGCGCGCTTCGCGAGAGGTACCGTAAAATTCCGAAAATACGCCCCTGGGCTTATATTTTTCAAAGGCACTTTATGAGGGGCTTACATGCGGAGGGGCTTATGTACGGAGGGAAATTTGCTTTTCAAATTGATTGGGCTAGCTTGTAGTGGGAAAGAAATGTACCATTTTTGCTTTGTTTTACTTTGTATTCGAGAGCAAATTCCAACGGTACAAGCCGGGGCGCTTATATTCAAAGGGGCGATTTAACGGAGGGTTTTTTGCGTTTCGATTTTGGAGGGCTTATATTTGGATAAGCTTATACATGTAGGGGCTTATTTTCGGAATTTTACGGTAAGTTTTGTTTCGTTGCTCAAGACATTTAATTATTTGAAAGCGAACCGTATTTAAACAGCTTTTAGCCTTTAGTTCTAAACTCTATGCTCAACTCTTTTCCTTTCATTAATGACTTTTCACGCTTTTCTTGATAAATGTGCCTAATGAGTGGTTCTCTACCAGGGCCCGGTTCTTCAAAAGATGAATAACGCTATCCACTGTCCAGAGGAAAGCGCAATCGGTTTTTCCTAATACTTATCCACTGGATTGTGATTTGTCCGTTGGATAACGCTATCCAACCTTTGAACAACTGAAGCCAGGAGTGTTTCATTCTGTAACAATCTTGAGGTCTCCAATATGAGTTTGGGTTTCCGGAAATTTTTGTCACTACTCTATTGAACTGTCAATATAAAGAGGACGGGTTTTGTTCCAGTTCTCTTCGCAACCTAGTAAACGGCAAGTTTAGCCCAGACAGCACGGACAAAAAAACCGAATTGACAAGGGATAGAAGAGACAAATTAAGCACCGAAAGTCACGTTCAGTCCTTTCCGCGCGCTTTCGCGTTGTCATTTGACGCTTTGCTAAATCTGCCTAATAAAAGCTAGGGAAGGTGTGTTACAAGGACACGATTCACAACAGCCATTTTTTCGTTAGTTGCAATGTTAAAACAGCGTTGTAGCCATTCTAAACAATGTCGGTCCATTATTGGGAGTTTTGCGGCTCTAACTAATTGTCGCTGTGTTTCGTCCTGTGCAACACCACCTTAAATAAGGGATACAACGTTCATGAAACAATCCCATAATGCAATTCAACACAACACTGACCCAGTCACCCGCAATTTCAAAATGGCTAGTGGATCAAAGAATAGTGTTAGTGGAGAAAGACCTTGTTTCTTTAAAGTATCTATCCTTTTGATCTTTTAGGCAAACAAAAGCAAAACCAGACCAGTTGTTTACAGGGGAGCTTTTGGTAACATCGCCCTTGCTCTCAAACAAACCAACGAAACAATGGAGAAGGCGGGTAAGCTATTTTCTCCCACGCAGCCTTTTTGTGTCGCCACGGAACTCTTCTCCCCAGAATGACAAAAAAGGCACAGCTGCTTAAGAAACTACGAGTTTATTTTCGTTTTTAATCTCAAAAACGATAATAAAAGAATTTAAGCGAAAAAATGCAACGGATTCGCGGATAGGCTGTAAATGAATCCACCCTAGGTTTAAAGTAGATTCGTTGTCGACATACATGTATGAGTCCCGCTTGTGTCCTTTCCCACTGGGCAAGGATGTGGCCAGTAAAGCTTTCCCCTTCTGGAAGTAAAATAGATGAAGCAAATGAGGATAGTTTCTCATGTTTTGTGTTGTTTTATGTAGCCTCTGTTTTGATGTTGTACATGTGCTCATTATTGATCGGATGGACTACAGTTTCTTAAAGATATGCATTTTTTATACATCTGTGCCAGGAGCCGATTCGGCTCCTGATCTGTGCTCAATCTTCAGTCAATCTTCAGTCTTGCTTGATATAAGGCATTTACACAAATGTGCGTAAGTAGGAGAACAAAGTATGTGATAAATAATCGTTAAGCTAAAAGACATTATAAGTTAATTTGTCAATTTCCCCTTTCATCTTAAGGACTCCTTAATCGTGAAAACAAAGGGTCTCGCGTGCGATAAAGGCACGTGCAACTGATGACGATATCTGTACAATTGTGACGTAGTTTTTCGAATCAGAAAAGTTTTGTGAGTAAAAAGTATAGCATTGGCTCTTGCGCACACATGTGATTTTCCTGAAATCATTGAACTTGAAATTGTTTCTCCAATTGTTTCTCCTTTGTGTTTTAGCCGACATATTTCTTTGCTTTCAAACAACGTACCTACAAAATTTCTAACTCTTTGAAGAGCGAGGTTTTGGCAGATGTTGTAGTAAACGCAACACGTCTGTAACGTTTTTTTTTTTTTGCATAAGTATTCATAAACAAACAAGTTTCCGCTTTCGTCGTAAAGAATCCTGAGTCCTTTATACCGAAATAGGAACAAGTTTTCGACTAGATGCGAAATATAGAGTCAACTTTACTGTACTTTGCGCGCAGTCCTCCCAAGCATTTACCCGAAAATAAGTGACAGCATGACTCAGAATTGAAAACTAAAGTAAAGTAAAGTTTTATTTTTGTTTGCAGATGAAATGTGTCAAGAGACAAAAGACGGGCCAGAAACTGTCGGTGATAGCCAATCATCGATCTGCATCCTAGAGGAAGTTGACGTACGTGCCCTGAACCTCCTTGTGCTCTTAAGGTTACAGGCCTGTAAATAATTTTCCTTTTAAGAAATGATGTGGATCATGTCCCACCAGATCATTTCAGTCGGACCATAGTTTATAGAGTGGAATGGTTATAAGCCCGTCAGAGTAGTTCTTTCTTTTAAGTTTTTTTTATTATTGTGCAGACTTGACAGTGCACAACGTCCAATAGCGTTCCTTTCATTTTGATCTTCAAAACGTCGCAATAATCTATTGCGCATCAATTTTTGAACAGGACACAAGGGATTTTCCCCCTTCATGGAGCTCCCAATATAAACCGCAACACCTACGATCTTTGCCGCATTTTGATAACCAGTCTCCTCTACTAACTATGGTCGGACAAACCAAAAATAGTCCCCTGAGGGGACCTGTGCTTACTGGGTATAGGGTGTCGATCCCAATACCCCTGCCTCCAATCTGCTAGGTACCTCATATATGATTCCTATAGTGTACTGAGATATAGATTCTTATAGTGTACTGCGTCTTATAGTGTACCGAGGTACTTGTCTTACTTGTGTGTCTTGGCCTACTTCACTTACTTGGCGTGCTTGAGGTACATATTCTTGGCGTACTTGGCTAACTTTTGTACCTAAAGCAGGCCAAGTAACTAAAGTAGGCCAAGACACTGACGCAATCCAAGACACACAAGTACGCCAAGTACCTCAAGCACGCCAAGTAAGTGAAGTAGGCCAAGACAGTCAAGCCACTCAAGACACACAAGTAAGGCAAGTACCTCGGTACACTATAAAGACGCGGTACACTATAAGAATCTATATCTCGGTACTCGCCCGTCTCGCTGGACAAGGGTAACGCGGACTCTAGGAAAAAGATTGTTCTGGCCTGGAGGTTATAGCGAAAAACGTTAAAGCTGTGTGCTACGAGTTAATTCAATCCGAACAATCAAATTTAAATTATTGCCACGAGCCGTGTGCGTGTTTGTGCGTCCCGTGCTCATCCCGTCTTCAACCAATCGTCAGTTGGATTCATTGGCATCATACGCGTATAGATGTCTCATTTGCCCGCTGGAATTTTTTATCGCCTGCCGCTAAAGAAAATGTTAACATCGCAAAATTTATTGTGTCTTTGAAGCAAATAATTCGGAAGGCTTCATCGGCGCTTCATAAATCTATTTTTTTCCCTGAAAAGTAGACTTCCTAAGCTTTAAAAAGAGACCAAGTATAAATCTCAGCGTACGTTGAATATTCGCAGACTTTAATCTGATTTTTCGAGGATTCTAAGTTCGGTTTTAAAACCACTAAATTTTACACAAAATGACCTGTGCACAACTTCGGACAAAAACACAAACTTCAATATCTCGAAAAATATGCTATGTAAAGTCGAGATTTCAAATTCTTTATGGCGTTGAACAGTTTAGTTCACTATTTTCAACGTAATTTTCGCTTATTCAATCGAATTGAGTTCAAACTATTTTTCGTAAATGACGGTAATTCATGACATTTCTAAACAAATTGAACAGCGCGCATATTAAAAAAATCTTGGCAATAAGAGAGATAGCTGTAATTACGTAGTTCAATAGTTTGTTTCACTCTTTGTACCTCAAGCGAAAAAAAAAATGAAACATTAAAAAAAATAAGAAACCTCAAAAGTGGCAAAGTCCCCGAAAAGGAAAGACGCCATCGAGTGTTTATTGAACGCGGATCTCGAGTAGTGTAACTTACTAACTTCTTGCAATTTATTGCTTTTAATCCTTATCTTCGAAATAATTAAACTACTTTCCTGATATTAAAGGTATGGGGCTTAAAACGAGAAAAGAAAAGAAAAAAGAACTTATAAAATTCGTCGGAAAAAAGGCGGTAGTGGGTATCAAACTCGGTACTTCGGCTCCGAGGGATAAGCGTTAACGCCTTGCGCCACGGGGACGATAGAAATGGACTTACAGACGGACATAATGCTTTCTGGCTATAAAAGCAGTGAGCACAAAATATTTTCGAAGATGTAATGTGCTGACTTTAGTTTCGTTTCTTCCGTGGGATGCCTGTGGCACTCCAACGGTAAAAATCCGGTTCGGTTGTACCCAAAATTGCAAAGCCAGCCAATAGGATTGCGTAAAATCTTTATCGATTATCTCTTCTTCCAAGCCGACCAATCAGATTGTACAAAATCTGTATCGATTTCTAATCGATTTGCTTCCTCTGAAGAACGTTGAAATCAGAACGTTCCTTGCCAAATTTGTCGCGCTAGAGTTTTCCCACTCGTGGTTTAGGATGGCGGCTTGTCAACCAGCGAAATCCTTCGGGATACTGGCAAGTCACGAAAGGCGACCGAAGCCAAATTATTTCTTTCCTTCATGATTCTTTTTTGTTTAGGTCAAGCTTTTTCATAAGGTTTTAGTAGCGTCTGGTTGAGGGCCGTGATTTCCGATAGATTTTTCATTCGGAGTTCGCCAGTTTTTGCCGAGCACAGCTAGAGTTCCGTTTTTTTCTTTTCTTATCGAAAACACCTTGACGATGGGAGGTTAAATCGCGTAAATTTCAACTCGTACCCTTGACGATTGTCGGTGAAATCGCAAGCAAGCAGATGTTTTGTTTTGTTTTGTTCCATTAACCTAAAACTACAATGTTTATTTATCTTTGAAAAAGTTACCTGTGGCTACTTACTACCAAGATATGACGTATCTTTATACATATAGTTCCTGTTCAGGTTTAATCAGAGAGCTTTAAGCGCATGTTCTCCATTAGTTGTTTCCGTTAACATTTCAATTTAAGTTACACGGGTAAACCTTGTTTTGATGCAAAATGACTTCTTATTCTTATCCAAATCGTGCTATGAAAATAACTACATAGCGATGGATCAAAACAAGATCAACTCCATCCTTGCGACCACTGACAACTATAAATTTAGCTTGCGTAGCAGGTGTCGAAAGGGGTGGATTGGGGAGAAATAGTAGCTTGCCACGCAGGCTACTATAAATTCAGTCATAAGCACATTAAACCAACCCATACAGGCAACCTACTCATCGATGCTCATAACATGATGACACATCTTTCCGGTTTCCCTAATTTTTCCAAATTCAGATAGAACGCCATTATGCTTCCATAGACCAACGGATCCCACGGAAACGACTTTAGGCGTCTTGTATTAAAATATTTTATACTTTAATTTACATTTATTTATTTTGTGTCCCCTAATTAGCATAGGTTTTTTTAACCTAAGCTAGGAGGCTTCTTTAGACACCTTAATAAAGTTTCATCATCATCATCATCACGGTTTTTAAAGGGAACTTAGTGCGCTTCTTACACTTTTTTCTGCCATTTATTTTTTAGACAATTAGAACTGAAAATGCCCAGCTGCTTGAGGAAAAAGTTGCCCTAGGACAGGAAAATAATGAGGTACTATCCGCTTGATAAGGTTTCAACCTCTTCATCCTAAAAATTAGTTCCCACGCCAATTAAAGCATACAATAATAAGAAGCAGCCTGTCGGCGGGAAAGTTTTTACCTAAAGGTGCTCTTAAGGAGTTAACTTTTCAGTATATTGTCCATCAGTACTTTGTTTCTTACCTGTCTTTAAATTCACGTGCATGCCCAACTTCAAAGTACAATTCTGAACAATTCTGCCCCCTTCCCACTCACCCCTGCCTGTTTTTCTTTCCCTGAAATAATTTATTGCTGATTTATCGCTTTACAAGTATTTGAAATACTCCGCTCTTGCCTTTTTCTTTAGTTAAAAATGAGAGAGACTGAAAGATTAAAAACGTAATTTTTTTCCTGCTTATAGCTCTTTGCGCCGAGCACACAATCTAAAGACCTGGGCTTTTAATGTTTGCTTTATGAAAGCTGTTGTATGTTGTCTTTTTTATGAATAAATAAATCAGGTTTGGCTGTTAAGCTGGGAAAAAATCATGGGGAGGGTCGCGAGTTAAAGTTTTGTACTTCAACAGCAGCACGACCACTATTGATCGGCGAAAGCTCGGATTTTAACAATCAACTATATATCTACAGCTTTTACGGGCCTCACTCGAGCTACAATATTTGTATTTACAAATATCAGTAAGTAACTGATTAACTATGTTTTAAATTACAGGAGCTACGTTTGAAATTTAACGAGTGTGAAGAACAGAAAGAGGTAATGAGGCAATATAACTTAATTGCGTCCCACGTGCAGTGAATTCAATTCTTTGTCTTCGGATGCACTTCTAGTTATGCAAATATTCAGCCACAAAATGCCCCCTCCCCCCCGGACAGTATTTAGTATTTAAGCTGTTCGGTTATTGATTTATTTATTGATTTATTGATTTATATATTTAATTAATTTGGAAGGATCCAGCCAAAGACAGAGAGGCGGAGTTTATACTTGAATACATTGAAAACTTCTTTGAGGTGAGAAGAAAATAAGTAACTAAAATCATGTGATCTTCTTGGTCGACTCAAGATGGGCATACATTCCAGTGTAATTCCAATGAGACTTCGAAGCCCGAGCGAGTCATTGTTCGCTCCTTTGTTAATAAAAGTATTTTTTTTTAAGGTGAGAGGGGTGGGGGGGGGAATAGACCCTCTGCAGCTAAAAAGTCACGCAAGACAAGATTGCAGTTTCCACTGCATTCTCTGCTCTCAAGGCGAGGTGTATCATGTTACTGTGCATGTCAAGCTGCAACATTCTCTCTTAGCTGCAAACGGTCCATTTTAACATAAAAAAACTATTTATTTCAATCGAACTTCCCACACTAATCAGGTACTAGGATCTCATTGGTCTACTTCGGTTTCCCAAACACAAAAATCCGCATTGGGTGCGAAGTTGGATAGCGGTTAACACCAGCAAATCGTCTGCTTTGCTGGTTACACAGTTCATGGATTATCAGTATATAAAAATATAACCCTTATTATATTATATTATTATTATACTTGACATTTTGAATTCCAGTACTCGCAGCATTTTTTTTTACTGAAGGAATTATTATTTTCGTTCCAGTTGTTTGAGGAGGGAAAAGTTGAAGAAGCTGTATTGCATGCAGCACATTCTCCAAAGGTTAGTAATACGCTTTCATTTGAGATAACTGTGTCTACGTTAAGCCATTTAACATTTTGTTTTGTTTTTGGGTATGGTATTGTATGATAATGAGTTTGAAACAAAAGAAAATAAAAATTAAACCAAGGATAAAACTGAACTACAACATATACACCAAATGTACTCACAGATGAGACGGCTATGATTTTGACAGTTACGTAGAAGTGCCTTTAAGGGCCTGTTTACATAGAGGTGTGGACCCCAGATAAGTGAGGTAACCCGCCTTTCCATATGATCTCTCATTTTAATTTGATCATGCTAACATGATGGGTGTTGTGACCCTCCGCGGGCTACTTCACCTGACTGGGTTCCCTCACCTCCATGTAAGCAAGCCCTTAATTTGATCACGTTTACATGATAGGTGGGGTAGCGCGCCGCATGTTACCTCACCTATCTTGGGTCCCCCACCTCCAAGTAAACAGGCCCTTAAAGGGCACTTTTACATAACCGTCAAAGTGATAGCTGTCTCATCTGTTGGTACGTTTGCTGTATATGTTTTAGTTCAATTTTGTCCTTGGTTTAACTTTTATTTTCTTTTGCGTCAAACTCGTTATCATACATTACCATACCCCCCACCCCCCCAAAAAAAATGAATTAAACCAAGAATATAATTGAATCAAGTCAATGCTAGGAGTATTGAGGTTCCCTAAATTTAGTTGTCTGGCCAAACAATTCGACATTGGGCGGAAAAACGGAAATATCCTTTAGGTTTGTCCGTTTCAGGTCGTCGCATGACACAATGGCAATTATAGTCATTTGAAACAGAGATAGATATAACACACATCGAAATACAAGCAAACATATAAAGGGAGAATTGTCCTCCACACTTCCTAACGTGAAGTCACTGCTCTAGCTGTAATTTCGCCTGTATTGAGCGGTAGTGTTAAGACAAGCAACAGCTTTTCCTACATCGCAGAATTGATAAACCTGATGAATGCCATTACCATGCATCGAATCGCATTTTGTCCTGCTAATGAATTTGTGGTCGACGCGTATTGCATAGGGAGTAGGGAGTTTTAGCAACTACGACGATCTCCTCGCGGTCGTCGTTGTGACATCTTAAAGTCCAGGCCCCAACCTCGTTCCCAGGTTCTCTCTCCTACCTGTCTCCGTCTCTCTCTCGCCCCGTAGGGTCGGGTAGGAGAGAACCCTGGGAACGAGGTTGCCCAGGCCCCAGTTGTTCAAAAGTTGGATAGCGCTATCCAACGGCGGGCCCAGTTCCTCTAAAGATGGTTAAGTTCAACCTAGGATTAAGCCAAACTTTAAGCAAGGTTTTCTTGTCTAAGAACATGTAACTCGAGGTTACAATTACTGTTGTACATTTACTTCGAAAAAAAGAAATGATAACACAACATGTCACTCTAAGCAATGTATAGGAAGGTAAATACAAAAAACGGGACAAAATTTTAATTTTGGATTAGCGCTGATCGCCTTTCAGGAACCTGGCCCGGTTAAATCACTATCCAACGAGTAAGTGTTGGGGAAACCAATTGCGCTATCCGGTGGATAGTGATTGATCCGTGGATAGCGTTATCCAACTTTTGAACGACTGAGGCCTTTTTCCATATAATCATCAAGATCGCCCCTCAAAATTTTGGGACTAGAGAAGCGCTCTGTAGTGATCATTTGTTTTTATTTTCCACGAAGGGAGTTTTAAGGACAATGGAAACACTAAAACAGTTTAAAGAATATGATGCTAGTCATGGCGACAGGTAACGTACCCTATGACGCCTCTATTTAGAGCCCTTTCTTCATTCACCTTACGGCTGAGACACCCGGAGGGTTAAGGGGCGGGGAGGGGTGTGCACTCCCATACTAAATTAAAATGACGGGGATTCTCGTCGTTTCGCTTAGAGTAAAAATTGGAGATTATGGTCCCAGGACCAAAGGCCAATATCTTTGCCAATGACGGTATCGCTTAGGGATGTGCGTAAAGAAATAGAGACCTTAAAATTCCAGGACGAGACTAGATTTAACTTAGATTTTTTCTCGTATTTTTTTAAAGAAATATACACTCTGAAAATCTTCATTGTACTTTTTCTTCACCAGAAAAGTTACACTGTTATCTTTATTGGAGGAGCTTAAGCCCTCTCCCATCGCAAAATGATAAAACTTCTAACATTTGATAACTTGTTTTTGCCACTACGACATTCTCGCTAAAACTCGTAGTACAATGACGACGACTATCACGTTTTCCCGCCAAAATGACGCTGGTTCACGCACATGGACTACTTAGTATTGAGAAAATCTTGTACTCGTAGTTTTACTCGTCTTAGAATGTAAAGGTCTCTATAACTATGCGAAAAAAAAAACTGCAAAGGCCGTCATACTGTGTTGTGTTGGACTATATTCTAATAGCAATCAAATTAAGCTCGAGCCACACCCTATAGATTGGTCTCCTTACGACGATCTTACGAGCATCCCTGTCGAATTCATAATGGAGTCCCCCCGGAAGAGGTACCTATGAGAAAGGTGCCGCCCCTCGTCCCTAGCCTTTCCTCATTACTGTTTCTTAATCCTTTGTGAAGTGCGATTTAAAGGGTTTTGATGCTGAACGTAACATAGCTCAGTTTCAAAATCTCGGAAAAGAAGGTCCTCCGTCGTCAGTTGAGAAACGGCTTTCAATGGAGCACTTAGTGATCGTTTTGTCAGGACAACTATACGTACTGTTTTTAATATGCCAATTTCAGCATTGAAGCACACCCACCAACTCTGGGTATGGCCAGTACCTTACGCATGCGCACAACCTTATCGAGATACACGGCTTCGTCTGTTCATAGGCGCGACGGCTTTGCAATGCTGAGGAGTTAGTAGGTGTGTTTCAGTGCTGAAATTGGTATGATTATTATTTTCCATTTAAAATCATAGCTATAACAAAGTTCTCAAATCTGATTGGCTATCAGCTGTTCTATTTTGGCACTAATAGGACAGTGTAATAGGACAGTACGCGCCATCACGCGCGCGCTTTAATGTTTTTTTTTTTAAATATCACTGCTAGCAGAATTTCCTGTGTTTTGATTTAAAATAACCTCAATTATCAAAAATTGTGTTACAGTTATGATTAATTGGTAACAGAACTCGTGATTAAACAAATCAGACTCCCGCTGCCCAGTTGTCCGATTTTGTTTATCACTCGTATCAGTTCTGACCCATGAACGAAATGGGTCTCTGAAGCTTTTTTATTGATCACGAATGACCCTTGCCGCTCTAACAACACATTCGTATCCTACAAAAATGGACCTTAGGCGAACAGGCCAGATTTTGTTGTTGTTGTTATTTTTCAATCCTTTATTAAGCCCTATTCGCCCCAAAGCTTAACCATGGTAAAAATTGTTTCCTTCATAAAAGCTGCTTATTGACTTAAATTTAGTGGAAATTACAAAACATGTTGAATTTGTATAGGTAATAGCATGATTTGTAGTGATATTTGGCATAAATACCACGAGTGATATTTCGAAATTGTTATACGTAATTTCACGAGCCGTTAGGCGAGTGAAATTTGAGGCAATGTTGAAATATCTCGAGTGGTATTTATGCCTAATATCGCGTACAAATCAGGCTGTTATTTGTTTATACCGCTACCCGCAAAATGATTGTAATTTTCACATGTAGGTATTTCAAATTAAGCTGAAATACCAGTGCTCTAAGCCAATCAAATTGCAGAAATTTCTCATGTAGTAGTATAACATTTGAAATCAATCCTGTGTAAAAACCGGTTTTTTGGTTTTCCGTGTCTGTTTTTTTATTTTTAGAACATGGTTTAATTGAACATGTATTGCTGATGTGAACGGGACTGAATTAGTTATGTTTGGACTGTACTTGAAAGATGTATACTTTATAGTGTGGAGGCGTCCACCTATGTCCCTGCCCAAGGTAGCCGCCGTGGAGAGTTTCGACTTTGCTTCTTTTCCAATTATTTTCAGTTCACTCTTTGTGGCTTACTGGGAGGCTCTTCTACCAACTGTCGCTACAGGATGCAATAAACCCTCAGAATGGGAGACGATAGAGTGCATCAAATGTCTCCTCGACAAAAGTATGTATCTTGCAAAAAAACCGCCAAATGCCCCAAAATTGGTGCATCATAATTTGTCGATAATGATGTTATATTACCTCAGGAAACGTCGATTACGCTCACCTTGCATGAAGAGGCGTTTTAGGAAAGGATTCAAAACAGGTGTATATGACGAAAGAACCAACGGTAGTGCTACCCAAGGCACCACCCATATGAGAAGCCTGATAGACACAAATTTCTGATCTGAGCATCCGAGAAAAGACTGAAATATTTTGGTGCAAACTGCACCGAGACATTTATATCTTTACTTTTTTTGGTCGTACTAGAGGGAGGGTGGGGGTTATGCGAATGAGAAACCGTCACCATCTTTCGACAGTGAGTGCTAGGGGGCTCCATAGTCCAGTGTAATCGTGCAGTTGTTAGTCGTGGCTGATTACAAGTATAGCTTTGGCCATTTGCCTTAATTCCCTTGCTTCACACGGCAAGGTCCTCATCCGCGCGAAGAGTGCCAAGAGCAGAAATGGAATATTTCTGCCCGCAGGTTGATTGAGATGCATTAAGGGCATCTTGATGTTTGAACAAACCATTAATGTTGGCCAAACAAATTTTTGTTTTCTTTTCTTTGCTTTTTTCCCTTAATTTCATACCGTTGGCCTTTTCCCCGAAGCTTCACGAAGCTCCGCGAGCCACGTTATAGTAACATCGGCCAAATATAATGTTGAAACATGAGAACCACTTGTAAAGGGGAACGTATTAATTCCTTTTCTGTTTTTCCTTTCTGGCAGATAGAGTAGATCTACTTACTCATTGGATCGCACAGGACCTGGTAAGATAGGTCACACCTACCTCCTCCCTAGGGGCTTACCGCGCGCGCGTGGTGCGCTGTCTGTTTTTTTCGCGTGATTTTTTGTACAGCTGGGGATAAGGCAAAGCAACACAAAATGGCACCCACCCACCCCAACCCCCCTTTTTTTGGGAAAAATTATTAAAAACATTAACAAAGCTCAGTAGAATGACATAAGTAGCTAACCTCGTTTCCAGGGCGCTTTTCCCTGGCTTTGAAGGTAGGGCAGGAAAAGCCATGGAAAAGGGCCCTGAGGACGACGTTGATAATTTTCTAAAGGAAGAAAACAAAGGACTTGGTGAAGTGTTTCAGCACTTTGCAATAATCTGGTTTATACCTTATCAGTAAGAAATATAAATAGAGTTTGCCTAAGAGCCTTATTTCGTGAGCAGTGGTTATTGTTTTGTTCTGCCTTTTACTGTTTGTGATAGCTAATCGTTTCTTTTCTCTGTTTAGCTGACTCTCTCTACAAAGGCGGGGAAATTGATCATGGACGCTTGCCAATGTCACGACAAGTAAGAATAAATAAACCATATTTAGCTCCAGATTAGACCTCCTGGCTTTTCTTTTCACGCATGACCTGATGAGGCTTTTGCCAGAACAGGATAACTTCAATAGGCTCAACTTCCTTCCCAGTTAAATTCCTATTTTTCCTGCCCAAGGTCGAACTTTCATCCAACGTCTCTAGACTATTGTTAAGTAATTGTTCGTGGAATTTCCTTTTATTTGAGATGGAAACTTGAGCAGTGAAAGTGAAGCTTTGAAACTGTTATCGACTTTTGTCTTGATATTGACTTTTCCTCTGCTCGCCTTGGTCAAGGTCGACCATTTCAAAATATCCATGGTCAGTCGCGTACACTTGACGATTTCATCTAGATTTATGATAACCGTTTGCGAATCACCTTCTGCACCCGCATGAATCTCGTCTTACCAGGCATTAATTATGAAGCATGCCACTGTTTACCTTCTCAATTAAGGTGATAGTAGAATTATGTTAAGATAAGATTAATGTGTTATCAGTAAACACGCCCACTCGACCTTAAGCTTCTTTTTTTAAAACACTTCCTTGCGCGTGACCATTTTACAATCAAGAAAACCTTACAGCATGTTACACGTGTTTTGATCGGTGGTATGTTACAGTTTCCTAACCTAAAGAGCTCAAAGTTGTTTCATTAAATTCACCGGATTTTTAACCTTGTTATTATTTAATGCCTTGTTTAGAATTTGTGTAAGTTTGTTTTTTTGCATGCCTGAAAACGCTTCGTGTTTGTGCAGGTTTTTTTTACGAGGCAGAAAACACTTTGAAACAGACGAGAGGTTAAAAATACAAAATGATACAAATTTTTCAAGCCCCTAGGCCGCACGAAAGCGCTTAGTGAAAACTGGCAAACTTTGAATAAATTTAACGGGTAGAAATTTAAAAAAAAAAACGACGCACTTGATGTAAACTGCATTTTTTAACGAGTAGCCAAACTTCCTCTTAATCGACTCTAACCCCGCTATACGGGCGCCAGCTTAATACGGGCATCTCATTATTGCGGACAGTTTGCTTTGTCCATGGGAAAGAAAGCCCTTACATTTTCTCTTAATACGGACTGACTTTTTGTGGCTTTCTCGATGTCCGTATTAACGGGGTTGGACTGAAGTTTTGAAAGGTAGATGCATTTGTTTGGAGTTTTTTAATATGTAATCGTCTTTGAGAACATGCCCCAAGGCAGCAAGAGACTGGCAAGCTTTGAAAATAAAAAATTAACAGGGTAGAAATTCATAAACGACGCACTGATTAATGCAAATTGTTAGTTGTCAGCACGAAATTTGTTAATGGGGCTTAATTTGACAAAACTTCCTGCTAAACGAGTAGTTTCGAAAGGTAGATGCAGTTGTTTGGAGATTGTTTTGTAATCGTCTTTGAGAAAAATTATACAGGGTAAGAAATGAATTAAGAGGAGACAGTTCTTTTTAATGATCACTTTTATTACCTTTCAATGCGTTTTGCCGGCAGTGAAGAAGTTCTTCCTAATCAATCTTATCTTTTTGTCCCTGCTGAGACTATATTCTTCCTGTGGAACCTACCATCCAGCTTCTTCAATTACTGCTATCCTTTTATTGTTTCTCTCAATTTCGAAGTGAATTTTTGAACTAAAATATCAGACAAAGGGCCTGTTTATATGAGTTGAGCCAGCCCGTTTTACTGGGCTGGCTTACGGCTCATACCTTTTTTTTTCATAAAATTTTCGTTGCGTTTATATCTTCTTCAGAGAACTGGCTCGAGTGACTTCAGACTTCGGCAAGCGAGTCAGTCAGCCCATATTGGTCCGCCTTGCCAGGTAAAGCGTGCCAGCCTGGCTAACCGGGGCCGGCTCGCCTCTTATAAGCAGGTCTTAAAGTAAGCTTCCGTAGTTTACGTATTTGTGGCCATACAGTGCGTGTGTTTATGTATTTTGTTACTGGTATCTCGTTCTCCCCTTGATGTCCGAACCTAAAATAGAAGCATTTCAGTTCCACACAACTGTATACATGAAGTACTGGTAAGCTTGAATCCTGAACTTAACAACTTGAAAATCTTTGTGGTTTTGTTGCTTTGGTATCGATGCCTTTACACGGATATCACAGAGGGTGATCTATTTTTCGACCCGAAACCGGGACATTTAGTTTCTAGCTCGATCGTTGAATTAAATTTCCGAAGAAACATTACAAGATCTTGCGAGTCGTCTTTGGTTTAGAAGAAGGATGCCTTTAAAAAGTGTACTAGTCTGGAGTTTCAGCAAAAGTCATCAGTGTCATCCCAAGAATGTAAAATTAATGCCAGTATATTCTTATTCTTATTCTCCGAGTAAGTCAGTATTCACTAGCGAAATGAAATACACAGCTTCTCAGTTCGCTTTAATTCATGTCTGGAACCAGACAGTATACATCAGGCAATTACAACGCCACCCTCCCCCCGTGCGCCTTTATCATATTAGGGAGTTTAAACAACAACGACGGCTGTATTTCATCACGTTTAATCCTATTTTGCTTTCTGGAAATTTGCTGATGAATTTCCCATCCCGAATTTACCCAATCCATTTTGCCATCTACAACACTCCTGTTGGACGGTTCCTTTTTCAAAACAGTTCTTTAAAATGAAAATTAAAAATGGGGTCATCATATGATGAGTGTCAGTAGCCTCAATCTCGTACGGCGCGTGTTTCCTTAGATTCTGTGAATTAATAATGAGTTTATGTTTGCCTTTGCGTCCTGTGCATTTTGAGGTAGGTAATAAGAAGGTTTTTCTGTTATTGTTTTTAATACGTGTGGTGAATAAATAACAATGATCGTTACAGAGCGCCTTTCAGTTATCCAGTGTACGTTTCAGACCATAGTCAATTATTTTTGGCTTTTCTTCTAATTTTGTCGGATTCATAATTGATTCAAACGCTGTTGTAATTGTTGAAACTGCGGTTAACTAAGAGTCCAATGATGAGACCGTTTATACATAAGGTAACGGAAATAGCAGTCTTGCTCATCTTGTTTTTTGCCATTTCTGAGGAAGTGTGTGATTATGTGAAAGTACAGTTTCATTTGAGTTGTTTCATGAACGAAAGCTTTTCAGGTTTTTCGAATAAGTTTCAGCTTTCACAAAGGTTGTGCGAACGACTATAGGTCGTCATTTTAGGGATCGATAAAGGTTCATACCGCTTATGTAAAATCTAGTCGAAAGAGAGAGCGAGAGAGAGAAAAAAAGGAAAACATTCTGTGTGTATGTTGTAGTTCATTTTTCATCTCAGGTAATTTTTATTTTTCTTTTGTTTAAACTTCACTAGCATACATTAACACACCCAAAAACAAAAGAAAAACGTAGTACAATACAATACAATATTCTTTATTTAACGAAGGTGACGTAATAACCCAATGAGTTATCTAACTTACGGCCTTCACAACAATACAAAATACACATATAAAAACAATGCCTAATCAGTAATATACGACTACAGCAAGCGAAAAAATAGAACTAGATAAATGTATGGTAGTTTAGTTAGTTTGTTAGTTTGTTTTTGGTTTACCAACCTACCCTGGAAAGGTGTTGCAGTGCATATGAATTAAATATGTAAGTTAAAAGATTATTAGTCCTAGTAATCTTTGTAGTTTAATTAGCTCTTGTCAATTGAATTGGCAAGAAAATCATCTATTAAAACTTCCGAACTGCTGGTTGGCAAAAAACGCAAACAAAAGCCATGTATTCTTTGTAAAAATTCAGTTTTTGTTCAAAACATAAATTTCCAAGTGTATGGGAGATTTGTGGCTCCTATTTTCAAAGATACCTAATTCTGCTGTGAGCTTTAGCTTTCTATTTTGAAAAGAGAGTGATCGGCGTATGGTAATAAGGGTATTGGGAGCGGTGCTTTTCTTGTTTTTAGTACGTGTCTTGAATTTAACCACTGAGGTAAACGTGAGGGCACTAAGCTTCATTCTAGTCACCTTAAAACGTTTTATGTCATTCAAGGTCAACTATTTTTGGCTCTCTTTCAATGTTAAATTGACAGAACTTGCTGTTTCTATAATTAAAGGTTTGAGAATGATTCGACTACTTTGCTGGCAGGTCATCGCAAGTGCTTGCTTTAGAATGAACGAGAAATTCAAGTACTGCACGAGTCGTGGCTTCAACAACCTCCCTCCCAGGTTTCATCCTACTCGTCCCCTGGAGCGAGAGAGAGAACTCTGGAATCGAAGTTTAAACGAAGGCGAATTACAAGTTAATCTTAAATAGAGGCAGCGATTGTGTTCATTTACTGGGATGCCACAAACAAGAAGTTTCTCATCCTTTTAATATTAAAATTAGGTGCCTTGCATAAAAAAAAGCGATGATTTTTTTCAAGCAAAAAAAATAATGGCTGCTGCAGCAAAAAGTTTAACACATACTTTATGTCAAATAGTGATGAATGAAAATAATCTAAATATGTTTTGAAAGGAAAGATGATACAATTAGAGGTTAACGTAAAGTTGTAAATGGGTCTATAAAGTTTCTTAAATGAACGCTGAGGGGGGAAAGACGTCATAAACGCATCAAAGTTATACGCTATACGTCATAAACACTTCAATTATCTAACTGCTTTAGAATTCGCAGTACGAGGTTGTCTTATTAAAATCATAAAGCAGGTTAACCAAAGGCTCAAAATGTTTATTTTCACGAGCTAAAGGAAGCAGTAGTATGTTTTAAGCTTTTACTCGTTGCCTAATTAAAAATATCGCGAAATCAAAAGGAAACCTGCATAGCAATGAGTTATATATAGCTGAAAGGTCAGTTTCCAACGAAATGGCACGTGGGTGAATTGTTCGCTCCCTCCATCTATAGTATTCTCTTAGCAGCCAAATATACTATGAATTATACATAAACGCTCCGCAAACGTCGAGTTAAATTTTCGCTAACCTGCTTCAAAGATTTTTCTGTTTAAATGTTTTTAAGCAGAAAAAATGATTCCAAACAGAATGGTCCAGTTTATTGAAGATTATATATTTAGTCACTGAAACTGGACATGGATTGAAACTTGAAAAAGTTGTGCCTGCAAAAATCTTAGTGAAATTTATTTGGCATCTTCAAAACTCAGCAAGCGCATTTTGTGTAATTTAGAGGCACTAAGTAGTGACTGAGCCCAGAATTAACCTAAAACAGCAATATCCTCGTGGCACGGAGCCCCTTTAACTCAAGTGACAATTAATTCTCCCCCGGCACCACGCGGGGTTAATATTAATTTATCGACGATTCCAGACAGTCAGCCAATTGAACGGTTGGCACGAACAATCAAAAAACGTTTCGTTGGCCGCCCACATATTACCATTTCACTTTATTTCTCTTCGCAACTTTTCGCCTTTGTGACTTTAACTGACTATTTTCAAATCGATTAAACAGTTTCTTTTTGTCATTCAAACATTTAGTCTTCTGTTTGCTGGCCCTTTCCTTTCTCCAGAGAGTTGATCACGTATACGAAATTAATTTGGGGTAGTAATTAATCCCCTATTTTATTTTAAGGAAAAAACCATCCAATCGCGTAGCCGAATTTAATTTTTCTAATTTTACTTAGTGATTTTCTCTCAGTCACGTTCGCGATGTCTTGAAATAAAATCCTAGACAGGTGCCTTATTGGATTTCTTCTTTCATATTTCATCAGTATGCCCTTTCGTATTTCCCAAGTTTATGCCAGTACATGATGTCGCTTTCCCACAGGGTTGTTTTCTCTCTTTTTTCCATTTGAGCCAAAAACGATTGAATTGAAGACGAACAGTTAGAAAATGTCATTTGTTAGGCTTATGTATCACTATAATTTGCAGTCTATCCACTTTGAATAGACATTAAATTAAACGATGGAAACACCCAACACGACACACGTACGAAAGCACTCCTATTATCATTTCTGTAAAGTCAAAAGCTACAGTAGATTCGCTAACTTTGGACAGGCGACCTGAGAAAATATAGTGTGTAGTTTCCGATAATAAGCTCGTCGGTGCGCAACTATGTGCACCAACGAACCCATTATTGAAAACTACACTGAATATTTAAAGATAAAATCGTGTGGGGTTTTAAGTTTACCTAGCAAAATTTACATAAACCGAGGAAGCGTTTACTTACCTTAAACTTTTTTTTATGTGTGTCGTTTTACGCAAGCTTATCAAGCCAATTGAAAAAGCTTTCAGCTTTGAAAAATCTTGTGCAAACGACAATAAATCGCCATTTCAAGAGGAAATTGACAATAATCCGTCCACGTTTGAAGGTCACACCACGTATTAAAAATCTAGTCTCTACCAGATTTTTTAGGATCGAAACTAATTTAAATGTATATCTATTTTTTTAGACCGGGTCTTGGGATGGCCGTCTGGTATGCCAAAATTTTCTCACGTCTACATTTTTGCAGAAACTTTCGAGGCTTAGATTTCCTAAGCATCGGCTACATCGATCCTTCGGATTATTGGAAAACATGGTTTTTAATTTAAACTTTCAAGATACGGCTTTGAGACTGAGAAACAATTTGCTCTAGCTTTTGAAGCAGCTGGAAGGAGCCTTTTATTTGTCAGTGTTTGAGATGAAACCCTTTAATTAGTTTTTTTTTACATATATATACCTTGCTGTTTGTAACAATTTATTTTCTAATCCTCGATGAACTTGTCAAGCTTATTTTTCAAGGATTTTTAAATCTTCCCTTCAGGAAAGTTGAATGTTTGAGTTAAAAATTTTCATCACTTTGTACGGGGGCGGATATGTAACTCAGCAGATGCGAGTTCTAATTGTCTACATTATAGAAATATAAAGTTTCCTGTTGGTTTTCCAACTTATGCATCACATTAGCGCTGGCTTGATTGCATCTTCAGAATAAAATGACGTTTGAGAAGATCTGATAAGCACTAACTTTTACATTAGATGGAGGTAAAGCTAGAAATGAGAAAAAATCCATTCAACATTCTTCATTTTGTTTTGGCCGCGTGGGGAATTATGTAACCCGTTATGTAATGTTTTAGCTCATTTCTACCAATTGAATCGAAACCTCGATATATTTATAATCTTGTTCGACACGAAGAACGGAAGCAGTTTAAAAACTGAAAGAGGTTTTTGTATTGGTCGTTATTTCGGTCGTGTTCAGCCTTTTCATATGGAAACTGAAAACAAACCCATTCTTAATTTCCTGCAAGTTTGTACTAAGCAGGTGTAACAGTCGCTTCTTTTACAAATAACCCGGTGTTCTCTAAACCTTTCACAACAATCTGCATTACGTCCATCAGATAAAACAAGCGGCATACAATTGACGCTGCGTTATAAATTGGCCCTACGCGATTACAAAGATTTTTAGCAGCTCCACGCGAGGCGAGACAAAGACGGCCACGAGGTGCACCGCGGCACTGATCACCTATATGTTAAAACTTTTATAACAAGCGTCATGTTTCTACTTGGCTATTAATACCACTAGTAACTGTCGACGGAGTGGGGACTGTTGAAGTGGGTTCAGTTGGGTCGAAGCTGTTCTCGCTGTCATCTTAAACGCTTCATGAAAGGTTCGAAGGCAACAACACGCAAGTGAGAAGTTGCTCTGACTATAAATAACGGTCTTGACTATTATACAGGCAGTCATGTTTAATCGTATGAATACCTGGAATCATCCTGTTAGGCCCAAATCGTCTGTCGCCGATCGCTGAGGATTTTTAAAAGTCTCAACATTTAATCATTCCTTCAAGTAAATATGACGAAGAATAGCTCTCACAGCTCGATCGCAGGGCTCACAGATGTGGAGGCAATCTTCCTTGCGTCTGTTAACGTTGTTTTCAGCCTCATTGGCATCTTCGGAAACTTGTTGGTCCTCTTTGTGGTCGTTCGTCACCGATACATGCACACAGTAACAAATATGTTTATCGCCAGCCTGGCGATTGCTGATCTCTTGGTCTGTTTTGTGGCGCAACCGATGTACGCCATATATCTTTATGGATTACCCTCGAACAATATTTACAGTGACGTTCGAAAGACGTTCTCCTTCGTTTCCTTGCTTGCATCGATCAGCAACCTGGGGGCCGTGACCATGGACCGTTACATAGCCATCGTATGGCCTATGTCGTACGAGCTGAGGGTGACATGCAAGAGGGCGGCCATTCTGCTGTGTGTCATCTGGGTGCTATCGTTACTGCTTGGTACACCTGCAGGGATTCTTCCATCACTACAACGTATTATAGTGTACTACGTTCTTGCTCTTGTGATTTTTATCGTCCCGATTTATGTCCGAATCTACCTTGTCGCCCGCCGGCAGGCTCGTCTGATTGCCCGACAAGTGGGTCATTTGGACCGAAGCTCACGCAGCAGAGTCGGCAAAGAGAACGTCGCTGCTAAGACCATTGGAAATGTCTTGACAGCGTTTATCATTTGCTGGCTTCCTCTCATAGTCATGCCGATTGTTTTCCGCTACATCGATCGCGGCCTGAAAGTTTTAAAGATTTTGAAATGGGTACAGACAATCGCTCTGTGTTCTTCCGCACTAAATCCTGTAATATACAGCCTCAAAACGCAAATTTTTAAGAAGGATTTGCGAAAAATTGGCCGCGCCATATTTCGACGCCGCGCTTGGGAAGAAAAGCCAGAGATTGTTTGAAGGAATCTGAGCAAGGAAACGTGTTATCTTAAGAAGCCCAGACATTTCTTCCCATATAACTGGAAACAGGACTGATGAGTTGACGATGCACTCGATAATTTAATCCTCCCTCTCCCTCAGTTTTACCGTGAAATTTCATCCTGTAGAAAGTTTATTTCCTAAGAGAAAAGTTTGTAAATTTCAAGATAACCAACTCAGTAATTTCAATTATCGCCGCTTCTGGAGGATTATAGCAAGGAAGTGGCCCACAACAAGGCCTGATGACCATATGATTAGATTAGAGTTCACCAAGAGACATTTCAGCTTGGTAAAGAGTTCTTGGAGGGTCACTCATTTTAAAAGTTAGTCTAGAAAACATTTTCAAAGTAGTAAACCAGACTGAATTTATTGTTGTAAGTTTACATAGGAGGTCTCATGGTTGTAAAATAATTACTTTTTATAAAACATTCTTAATCACGCATAGGTTAACCTCGACCGCCCTCGTTGTTTGTAGTATCCTGTTTGGAAGAGTTTATTAACTTCGCTTTGCGTTATTTATTTATTCCCAGTTATATCAAATTTTCATTTTTTACGATAGTTGTGTGAATATTGTAGAGAGTTGTAAATATATTTCACTGTAAATATATTGTTGTTCCGAGTCATCTAACGACATTGTAGCTAAGATATAAAAAAGGAGTGCTGTAAAATACCATAAGCGATGTTGTTTTGATGGGTTATAAAAAGTCCATTTATTACCGCATTTTATCGTTTGAGCGCCCACGTTTTAAACTCCTTCCTCTTGCACCAATAATCTCCCCTCACCCCATCCTTACTTTGTGATGATACCACAAGCAATAGTGTCTCACTCGAAAGTCTTTTTGGCATAAAGCGAGTTCAATACCTTTGTTGCTTAATGAGGTCTGATATTTGCTGCTTTTTGTTGGGTGTTTTCTTTTACTGCTGAGGTCCTTCGCCGATGTTATTTGCGGTTTTTTATTTTACCACAAGAAGACCAAAAAATACGTTCATGAATACTTTTATTCTCCTTGTTTTCGACTTGTTAATAACAGTTTTATATTACTTTTCATTACGTTCAATGTTGATTTCCGGTGCTTCTTTTGCCGCAGACATCACTTTTGAAATATCTCTAGGTTGTTTCGAAACAATTAATTGCCTACTTCGAATGAAATCATAATATGCAGGAGAAAGTCCAAGATTGTTAATGAGATTTTGAGGACCACTTTGTTAGCTAACGACAGGAAAAATTGTCAGATACTCGAAGACTAACGTGGAAAACGTCCTGTAAAACAAATGCGTGGGAAAGTTCAAAATCTATTAAAGAGGGCATACTTATCTTAAGTTTAAATAAAGATATCTATTGCGCAGATCTTTAGACTGTTCGAATTTCCTGCTATAATAGGGCGGTATTTCTGGAATGACGTTCGTTTGTCAATTCGAACTAATCTTGACAAGAAATAATGTTAAAAAGAACTCTGCTTTTAAAATTGTGCTTCTGCCAAAATTAAGACGACTTAAGAATAATCAGTTATTTTGCTGTCATCAGCTCTACTATATAGTCTTGTTCGATATCTATATGTGTGTTATGTTAACCAATGCATATTATTTTTTCACTTTTTTTTTTTTTTT